CAGCTCCTTCTGCTGGGAAAAAAGCTAAGCTGATAATCTTCGGAGGACAAAAGGAACATCTGACCATGAGCAAGTTGACCACCAGGCGACGAAGCATTGGTCAAAGAGACTGGAAAAGTTACCAGGTGCATAACTGGAGAACCACACAGTGATTATTCCAGGTGTTTGCTGTCCCTATCCTATCGCAACCCTAATAGTTAGTATTTTTAGACTAGTGGTATGCCCTATGTATAAGTGTGTGTGTATGTAAGATGCCTAGTCATATATACATATTTATGAATACAGAGAATATTAAAAGGTAATACAAAACAAGTTGGAGAGGTCCTGGGAGTCGAAGCTCCCCAGAACAGGAATAAAAGAAACTAGTAGATTAAGAAGTACTTCATGAGTTGTGGCGATTCTGGCGGTGGGGATGAGTGCTTTTATGTCCCGGGGATCAGGGATTACTAAGATGGCAAAAGTTTAACGAGGGTAGGATGTCTAAAGTTTGAACCAGAGACAGGGGTATTGCGTCATAGTAACGCAGTTATTCTTTAATCTACTTTTAACAAAAACTATCAATCATTATTTGATCTTTTATGTGACAATCCTTACAGCTGGCTTCTATCCACCTATTCAAATGCCCCTCAGTTTATTCCAGCTCTCAAGTCGTACATTAGTTGTGGGAGCGAAAATTCCGTTTTCAGAATCTTAAAGCATTAAGTTCGCATGATCGCACAAGTAGATTTTTTTACAAGTCCTTGATAAACACCCAATGCTTACGTAATATTAGCGGAATACCACAAGAATCAAGGTGTCTAAATCCAGGTGTCTAAATCGTCAAACGAGTTCTTCTATTTTCTCGGCGGTTATTCGTTGAGTTTTGGTTTTCAGGAGACAGTAGCGCAACTGCTTACACGACATATGCGCCTCGACCAATCGCATTCGAAGGGCAGTGGTTTATCACCTTCTCAGCATCGCAATATGTGTATTGTGCTGGGATGTCTGGCCGAGAAATTAGCTGGGCCAAGCAGCGCAGAAATCTGCTGTGACGCTACGTTGAATTATCTTATCGATAATCTTGTAAGTTTGTTGTTGAATATTTTTTTTTCGTTAATTTTGTTGGTAAAATCATTTGAATATCTTGAAAAATTTCATTGATCTACACAAATTTAGCCAATGTGATAATTATTAGTTAGTTGGTCGGAAAATTGTTTTATTTTCTGTTTGTTGGAGAATTATTCAAACTTATAACTATTTAAGAAAGTAAAAGGCAGTACGGCCCGTAAAGGTGCTATAAGTAATAGGAGAAGGTTAATAAGCTAACGGACAGGAACAACAGCCAGTTCAGTGAAGGGTAAAGACCAGCATTGGCAGTACCAGCCCTACAAGGCGACTTAACTGCCTCCTCCTTTCGCTCCCCCTCCCCTCTTCGCTTCCCCCACTCCCTTCCTCCCGTACTCACTGTATCGGACAATGGCACCGGGAAGTGACCCAATCAGTAACATACGAAAACAACAACTATCCGGTGGTAAGGGTGTTGATGGCTCCCCTGGTAAAACTGTTGTTGGCTCCCCATTTGAAAGTTTAGAAACTAACGGCAGTTCGAATTCTCTAAGTTGTGCCAATACCAGATTATCATCGAATTGGATGGATGAATCGGAGAGAGACTAGTTATTTCGATAGCGGAGTCCCAAAACAGTTGGCGGGGCTTTAACTATTCAAAGTTCTCCTTGGTATGCGTTAAGCGTCGCTCGCCACCGTGTTCCATACGCTTCCTTCCGTAGAGTTTTATGTCGCGGAAAACCCGCGGAAAGTCAAAAAAAAGAAAAAAAGCTCTATAAATCTGTGTAAAGAAAGACAACAAAGAAACAGAAAGATCTATCTCTGTCTGTGGGAGGCAACCAGAAATTAAAAGGAAAATGCATAGTAGAAGCGTTGTCATGAACTGGTAGTACAGTGGATGGCACTTCGCCTCCGTTTTTGAAGACAAGTGGTGCGATTCCTTTCCTGTCCATTTGCAAAAGAGAACTTCGTTCACACACATGTTGAGATACTTTACCTGATTATATGTGATTGCTTCATAAATATGATTGTGCAATTTTCGTTTTTGTTCCAGAAACCCGCATCAAACTGTCAAGTGATTCTGTATTCGTTGATTGCGCTGGAGAAGCTTGCTCAAACAATTGAGAATAGGCTTACAATATGTGAACGACTTGAGCGAATGAAACCGAACCCGTTGTTGGTATGTTTTCATTCTCTGGGGAAACTGATCTTGAAAAATTTCCATTTTGAGGGCGTAGCGCCCATGTCATGATACCTTCCCGCGTTGCCGCCTAGAAGAGCATGCAGCTTTTCGTTGGAAAACTGATTTCTTCACATCTCAGATCGGTGTTAGGAATAGTAGAGTAGGAGGATTGGACTTAGGTGTCATGTACAAAAAGACATTTTACGATGCAACGTGTGTTTCATCCCTTAGCTGTAAACACAGACCGGACTATGCATGCGGCTAGGAGTGGGAATCATCAGTACAGCCTCCTACCCGCCATGTATTGAAAGGACATGTAGCTATTTTGCAAGACAAAGATGGAGGAAGCATCCAGCATTATGGATGGGCACAAGTGTCTTCCTCGTATTCCCCTCAGTAAGAAGAGAAGACGGGCGGGAATAGCCTTACTGATAGCAGTTGCTATGAGCACCCACTCATTGACAAAATTGTCAGTGGTTCCCTTTATCATGAGTTGCGTAGAAGCAAATTAATAAAGGATATAGTTTCCTGGCATGCTCCAGCACCAACTTTTATGAATCTGATTCGTAAAACAAATGAAATCCACTTGGGATTGATATAGATTATTTGCCCAACAACTGACTACTGTTGCCTTATGAAAGTGCTGAAAGTCTGGGATATTCTTGTGTGCGTACGTATGTGTGTGTTTGTGTGTGTGTGCATGCATGCGTGTGTGTGTATGTTTGGGTGTGTGTATGTGTGCATGCGTGCGTGTGTGTGTATGTCTGGGTGTGTGTTTGTGTGTGTGTGCTTGTGTGTTTGTGTGTGTGTGCTTGTGTGTGTTTGTGTGTGTGTGTGTTTGTGTGTGTGTGTGTTTGTGTGTGTGTGTGTGTTTGTGTG